GATAGATTTTTTGACAAATCCAACTGGTGCATTGTCCTGGAGAAAAAAACTATGAAAAGCCAAACAACAGAACCTTGCGGGGCATGGAAAAACTTAATGTAAACCATAAGCTCTGCAGCCTGGAACAGCAAATGTGCGGCTGGTGATGGACAAAATCCGTTCAACTTGTTTCCAGTGTGCCATGGGAAAACTGCTTTTTGATTGTGAGGAATTGCTTTTGAATTATACAAGCTTTTATGAGAGGTTGTTGACTGCGACTGTAGTGGTCAGCTATTGTTCTGTGCCACATGCAAAACAGAGAGCATCACAATCATGCTCTTTATTTTTTGGTTAAATTTGAGCTAAAAACATATAAAAGTTATTTTAGGAGCTCTCTATAAAATTTAGGGTTATTCGCAGCAATGGTCCCTCAACTATACCTGTAGTTACAATTTGGTCACTCAATTCAATTATTAGTTGCAGAGGTCACTCAATTGGGTGTTATGTTGCACCGTTAGTTCCTACCGTCAAGTCTCTCTAACGGTAAGGACTAATAGTGCAACACAACATCTAATTGAATGACCTCTGTAACTATTTTTGGAGTTGAGTGACCAAAATGTAACTCCAAGTATAGTTGAGGGATCATTGCTACAAATAATCCTAATTGAAAAGTCACATTTGCCCATCAATAATCTAAGATATGCTTGTCACGTCATCATTTTAAACAGAAAAAGTCACAGACTTGACAGAAGGACTAATGGTGCAACAAAACACCTACTTGAGTAACCAAACTGTAACTACGGGTATAGTTGAGGGACCATTACTACAAATAACCCTAAAATTTAAACTCCAATCATACTCTCTAGTTTAAGGAGTCATAAATGCTATAACTCCCTTTTAATTGGTCCATATCTATTAAAAAATAGTTAGCATTAATTAAAGGTTATAAAGAGCCACTAGGAGTCTTTTCTCTCTCATCAAATTTAGGAGCTCTTAGAAGTCTCCCTATTTTAGGAGGTGGATAGAGAGCATGGTTAGAGTTGTATTTTTCCAATTCCTCCTTAAAATTTGTCTAAAGAGGTGGTTTAGGGATCTCATTGTGGATGCTTTAACGCAAGAACAACTAGACAATAGTTATCTTATAGTGATCAATCGTCAAATTTCACTGTTCAATTTGTCCCTTTTTTTTTTTTTGGGTCAATATTGTACAATTTATCCCTCAAAAGGAGAAAGACTTCCATAAAATTAGGATAACACTATTTTGCTATTCCCGATAACGTTTTGACACGCGTGACAACACTTTCACATAGCATAATACTATTGGTCAGGGATAACAAAATAGTGTTATCCCTGTTGCAACTAAGTTTTTCTCCTACTACAGTGCTTTTGGGGGTTGGTGAGATGTCTACGTGAAAGTACTTTTGGGCCTTCTGATTATTTTTTATTTTTGGGCCTTCTGATTATTTTTTATATTTTTTGAATACAAGAGATAGTCTAAACCTTAAGAGGGAGAATGTTTCTCACACATACTACCAACGTGCGATAAAGGTTCGAACTTGAGGTTACTGGTCTACAAATCAATGCCTTTTTTTTACTAGGCTAGACTTCGTTGGTGGACCTTTTAATTATTAATATTTGGAATGAGTGGAATTTATAGCTTTTTACAGATTTAGGGTTTAAACAGTCATCATAATTAAGTTAGGATAAATGACATTGTTTTGATTGTGATTGTGTTCATTCATTTGGATATGCTAAACTCGGTTTCTTGGATGGGAGCAATAGAATCCAACATTCTATTTCAATATTTGATTTTTTGGTCTCCATTTCCTATTGCAATATTTCATGTCTCAGATTTGAAACCCCATAACACCACTAGTGTGTGTATGAGAAGTCCCTCTTTCTCCTTTTTCAAGAAGAAATGTGTGTACATAAAAAAAATATTAGCTCATCCTAAACTGCGCTTTAAGATAAAACCTCACACTTGAACGGGACAAACAAAAATAACTTAACCTACCACGTGGCAGGAAAGTACCTAATAATTCTTATGAATGCAAGTACATCATGAGTTTGAGCCACTGAACCAATCATTTTAATTTTAGCTCCAGCATGATGACTGCCAACTATTTCTCACAGAGAAATTTATAGCCATTCTTTTCCATCATGAAAAGACATTGAAGGACCTGGACCTGAATTAAAAATTTGCTTTGCTGCTGCTAGGGTTCTTGAATATTGATGAAGACGATGCATTAACTTCCAACTTTTCAGCTCACCAAACCCTACGCGTTGCATTATTCTGATAAATTATAATTGTTTTGATGGACAGCTATCCTTTTATACTTTATTTATAGTGTCACATTTATAATTTTTGCTTTTTTTTTTTTCTTATACAAAATCATCAGTCCATAACTCATATAAGATTTTGTGCATTTTATGTTGTGGAAGTGAGTTACCTCCCTCTCTGGTTCATGAATTAATGTTGTAGTTGGTTGTTGAGATGTGGACACTCAGATATGATATATGAAACGCAGCACAAGTTGGAAAATCATTTTGAGGAGTGGGAATTTTTGGGACCAATTACACATGTTATGTCATTTATTTTTATTTTTAGTACAAGCTAAACTACACAGAGAGGATTCCTCACATACACGCACATAACTAAGATGTCATGAAGTTCGATCTTGAAACCTCTTATTTGCACGTTAATGTCTTTTTCCACTAGCTAGACTCCGTTGGCTCTTGACTGATATGTCATTATATATTTAATTGATGCGTCCTTATTTTAATTTTATTTTTCCGGCAGCATTATTTTTTAAGACAAGTAATGTAATAACCAGCATGAATTAGGACCCTACATGATACCAATGAATTGACAAATCATAGGAAGATTTTAGCCACACAATATGTTCGAATGTCTAAGAGCATCCGCAATGATGCTCTCTATTTCTTAGCTAAAATTTAGCTAAAAATATAAAAAAAACTATTTTAGGAGCTCTCTGAAAAATTTCAACTCCAACCATACTCCCTAATTTGGAGAGTCATAAATGCTATAACTCTTTTTTGATTGGTCCATCTCTATTAAAAAAAATAAAATAAAAAATAGTTAGCATTAAATAAAGGTTTGAAATACTCATTCAATAAGGCAGCATTAAATTATAGGGAGCCACTAGGAGTCATTTCTCTCTCCTCAGATTTAGGAGCTCCTAGAGGACTCCTTATTTTAGGAGGTGAATAGGGAGCATGATTGGAGTTGCATTTTTACAATGCCTCCCTAAAATTTGTCTAAGAATGTGATCTAGGAAGCCCATTGTAGATGCTCTAATATTTTCATAAGTACACTGTACACACTCCTCTTCTTGAAGCTATATATAACTTCATGCGTGTCCTCATGTACTTATATACATTTGGACCATTTATATACTAAAATTGATGTGATTAATTGAGCTGAATTATAATGATTTGATCTAGCTAGTAATATTATAATGATTCGAACCTTCATGACTGATTTGATCTAGCTAGTAATATTATAATGATTCGAACCTTCATGACTCCTTGACAGTGCGTGTGAGAAACGCCTCTCCTTCAATTACTTGTATTAAAAAAATAAAAAGATTATACATATATAGTATTTTAATATTGCGGTTGAGTGTACTTTTAAAAAAGCAAAGATGCTGTCGGTATTATTGATATTGTTGGACACTTCGACCTTACACGTATCAATACATTATCGATACAATTCGTGGATCAAGTTGACAGGACTATATGTATATATTATTGGTACATTATTGTGATGAATTTGCTCAAACATGTTCTCCTAGTCATGCCACGTTGGTTGGTTGCCCATGCAGGTACGTTTATTTTGGACGGGACATCTCATGATTTGGTTGTTGTTGGTCACTGTTATTCATCTTTGGACTGCCACTCACGACAACACCCATAATACTCGTTATTCTACTAGATATTCTATTATATATATGGGATCATATAGGAGCCCAGAAACTCTCTCTCTCTCTCTCTCTCTCTCATGCGCGTGTCTGTCGTCTTTGCAGTATGATGACTTGACTCCATCAGTCCATCTACTATCCATCTATAAATTTGGGTCCATCGCAGAAAAGTATAGTAAACCAACCAAGAAAAGATTATCACTTCAAAATTTAATGTGCATGAACATGCAAAATATTGATTACCATTTACTGGTAAGTTGGAATGGTTTTATGAACGTGTACGGGAGGATACATGTTTAGGTGATGTAAACCCTATTGACAAGAGATGGAGAGAGGCATAAGATCTTTTAAGTTGGCAGCTTGATTATTATATCATGTTAGAATGTGATAGCATCCAATTCAAAACCAATAAGCAAGTGGAGATGCTCAAGATCTTTTAACCTCTTTATACGACTAAGCTTCCATTTCCAATGTTAGACATATTCGAGGTCATATGTTTAATTTTTCATGTCCCAAATATCACTTGTATTGTGTAAAATAATCATATATATCACAATATGATAAAGTATGTGCATCCTAAAGTGTAACTACAGTTTTGTGTAAGTAATATAATTTGTTTGGTTATATTGGAGATCTACTCTAGCAAAAGTTAATCCACCCTCTCCATCGCTACTTTTTTGTTGTTGTCAAAGTTAGGGAGGGGGTGTTTTTTTTTTTTTTTCACACATCCAATCAGTATGTTGTGAGGGTTCGAACACGAGACTAGTGAATTGAAAATTTAATCACCAAATATTAGAGGAATATACAAAATAAATATGGGACAAAATGAACACACAATTTTATTTTTGAAGAGAAAATGAGCCCACCGTATCTTCGATCTTTAATGCAATACTAATACTAAAAATAAAATACAATTTCTAATTTTAAGCAGTATATCTATGTTTTATTCTTTATGCCTTCTTGGTGCTGAAAATATAATGTATACTTATATCCTAGAGAGTTAATTGAAAACCCGTACCTAAACTTTGTAGAATCATAAATGAACGAAACAAGTATAAATAAATTGGTGCATCTATTGCAACAAAAAAAGTAGTAAGCAACCAAAGATGCCTGGAAACCTATGCTCACTGGAAGCTCTTTCCTCTTCCTTCCAAGTCCATAGCAAGTCAAGGGAAACATCCCCTCTAGAATACGAGGCCACCAAGCCCCATGCAAACCACTTAAAATTTCAGAAATTCAATTCCCTTCCTCAATCAGCAAGGGAGCTTTCAAACAAAGCAATTTCTTTCCACTTCGAGGAGACACTTTTGAAGTCACCTTCCCTGTTTCCTTACTTCATGCTTGTGGCCTTTGAAGCTGGTGGGCTTTTGAGGGCTCTAATTTTGTTTCTTTTAAGCCCTTTTATTTGTTTGGTTGGTGGAGAGCTGGGGCTCAAAATCATGGTTTTTTTGTGCTTTTTTGGAATTAGGAAGGAAAAAATGAGAGTTGGGACAGCTGTGCTGCCCAAGTTCTTTTTGGAGGATGTTGGGTGTGAAGGGTTTGATGTGGTGATGAGATGTGGGAAAAAAGTTGGAGTTAGTGACTTGCCTAGAGTCATGGTTGAAGGATTTTTAAAAGATTATGTTGGGGTTGATGTTGTTGTTGCAAGAGAACTAAAAGTGGTTGGTGGATACTTTGTGGGTTTGATGGAGGCAAAAAATACAAACAGTTTGGATTCAAATCTGATTCTTGGAGAGAAAAAGTCAGATTATCAAGCAATTGGTATAATTGGTTGCCACAATGAAAACATGCATGAGCAACTCTTTTCTCATTGCAAGGTTGGTCAACGGTCTTTCATCTCTCTCTCTCTCTCTCTCTCTCTATTTGAAACTGTTTTTGGGTTTTGAACATTTTCCTAACAATACCCATGTCATATATTTTTCAGGAGGTTTACTTGGTGACCGAAGCTGAGAAGCAAAGCTGGAAAAGCCTTCCAAGAGAGAAATACCCAGAACCATTGATTTTCCACGATGGAAGATTGGCCTTCAAACCAACCCAACTTGCCACCTTGGCCATGTTCATGTACATGCCACTAGGAATTTGCCTATGCATCCTAAGATTCCTTTCTGGCATATTTCTACCTCACAGCATTTGCGCTCCAATCTTGGCCTTCACAGGAACAATCACCACAATTTCAAAACCCAAGTCCTCTATTTCCTCAACAAATGGTAAAGGAGAAAAACAAAGAGGCAGACTCTATGTTTGCAACCACAGAACCTTGCTTGATCCTCTCTATGTTCAATTAGCCACCAACAAATCTCTCACTGCTGTCACTTACAGCTTAAGCACAGTGAATGAGAAAATTGCTCCCATGAAGACTGTCAGATTAACAAGAGACAGAGACAGAGATGGGAAAAAAATGGAGAAGCTGTTGAGCCAAGGTGACCTAGTGGTTTGCCCAGAAGGAACCACATGCAGAGAGCCTTATCTGTTAAGGTTCAGTCCATTGTTTGCTGAGCTCACAGATGACATTGTTCCTGTGGCCATAGATGTGAAAGTGAACATGTTTTATGGCACAAGTGCTAGTGGGTTCAAATGTTTGGATCCAGTTTTTCATTTTATGAACCCAAATCCTGTTTATACCATCAGGTTGCTTGAGAATCTGCCAGGATCAAACACATGCAAGCTTGGTGGAAAATCAAGGTTTGAAGTTGCCAATTATGTACAAAATGAGATTGGCAGGGCCTTAGATTTTAGGTGCACCAGTCTCACAAGGAAAGACAAGTATATGGCATTGGCAGGCAATGATGGGAGCTTGAAGGGCTCAAGGAAGGTGACTCATCATGCATGAGTCATAACTCTGAAACTTAATTATCACTAGTTTAGGACATATGTATGGTGAAGAAACCATGTGTAAGCATTAATAATGTATAAGCTTATTTATTGTAGTGACCATGAAACTATGATCAAATCTTATATTGCCCCTCGAAAGTTAAAGTGACCCACTTTGTCCCATGCCGTCATCTACATTCCTAATTCTGTCAATTTTGATGATGTGGCAGGGGGATTATAGTAATTCCATACATGTGGTCATTAAAAAATTAATTAAAAAATATTTTATCTTTAAATAATTTAAAAATTAAAAGTCCAAAATACAACCTAATAAGATTTTTTAAAATTAAATTTTAAAAATAAACCTTACCCCAAACTCTTCCCCGGCCACTTCCTCACCCTCCCAATCCCCGCTCGCCTCCCTACCCCTCAGGCCTGCTCCTCTCTCTCTCTCTCTCACCATCCGCACAACCCAACAGTGTTCTTTTGTTTTGTTTTTTAAAGTAAACAAGCAGGGATCTTGCAAAGTAAGCCTCATCCATTTAATAGTATTCAGATCTTAATAATAAAAATTGGGAAATGAGGGAAGAAGTTGTTTTCTGACATTTCGGCAAGATTTTCAAATTTAATCTCCAAAAACTAATTCCTTCAATCAAAAGCTAGCTTTTAAAGTTAGAAGCACCAAAGTTATATGCATCTGAATATACATGAAGCAGGCATCAAAATAGATGGGTGGTGTAAGAAGTGAGTGAGATTTCCTTTCTACCACTGCACAGACCATTTCAGCCCCATACTTTTCCAAAGCACCAGTAGCTACTCTTAGATCAACATTATTATCATCTATAATAAGAATTTTTCTCCCAGGTAGAAGAGTGCAGAGAGTCAAGCTTGAGAGCTCAGATTCGATCAAACTGGAGCCTAGTCCAGCAGGCCAAATCGTTAATCGGGTCGGACCTCATCTTCCTGGTACCGGACCAACTCGACTCGAAAACCAGATCCCCATCGACTTCATAAACTGAAACTTCTCTTTCGCCGATATCAGCATCATCGTCGGAGTAGAAGAAGAGGAAGACGACAAAAGTGTGGGGTTGTGGGTTAGGCAGGGGGTGTGGGGATGTGAGTTGAAGAGCGGGGTGAGGATGTGGTTCAGGAAAGGGGGTTCAGGTCACAGAGAGAGAGACACAGGGGCAGGGCTGAGGGGTAGGGAGGCGGGTGAGGGCTGGGAGGGTAAGGAAGTGGCTTGGGGAGAGTTGGGTTTATTTTTAAAATTTACTTATTTTTTAATTTTATTTGGTTGTATTTTGGATTTTTAATTTTTAAATTATTTAAAGGTAAAATATTTTTTATTAGTATTTTAATTACCACATGTACGAAATTATCATAATACCTTGCCACATTATCAGAGTTGACAGAGTTAGATAGGAGATGACGGTAGGGGGACAAACTAGAACACCAAACCTTAGTCAAGGAGACAGAGTGGGCCACTTTAACTTCCGGGGGTCAATATAGAATTTGACCAAAGTTTCAGGGGGCATTACCGTAAATAAGCCTAATGTATATTTCAATTTGGGTTTGTTTCAAGTGATCTAAACCCTTGATTGTAACCAAAGATTTATCTTTTTTCTGAAGTTTTAAGCTTTGTATTAGACTGAATTTGAGTTGGAAAAGCAAGAGGCTTTTAGCTTAAGTGGATAAGAGCATTTATCCGTGCACCCAAAGTCCTAATATCAATTTTGGTATAGGGTTTTTTCTTTTTAAAATATAGATTTTTTTTTGGTTAAAAAAATTGGATTTGACAATATAATGCAATGCTTAGACCATTTGAAATTTTATCTATTCCCTCAATATCCAGGAATGCAAGATTTCCCGAGAAATGATTCATTCTCACCATTATAAACAACATTGCTCAGACTAAAACTGCTCACTAAAAAGCTACCTGTTCCTCAGTTTCTCTCTTCTGTGAAGATCACGGAAATGCGGGATTCACAAATGTTCTATTAAGCAATCAGTGCATATCAAAACATAAAAGTAAAAACTAAAAGACATAAGACAACATTGTAATTTAATTTTAAAACAAGACCATCATGTATGAGCCAAGTACATCTCTCCAAATGCATCTGCCGGACCTATTTATCAAAAAATGCATCCTGCTGTGACTATGGAACTACAAATGGAGACGTCCATAATGAAGGGTATCCCCATCCCTTCACTTATGCTAAACTTTGGTAAAACAAGGGAAGCTATTTAAAGCTGTATATGGTATGCAAGAAAGGTATAATGGCGTTAGCAGTTCACACCCCAGTCATAAGGCTGGTACATCACCTTCAGCTGAGATTTGGCAAGCAATTCCAGTAAAGCTTCTGAGACAGCCGGCTCGAGGTAGTTTGATGAGTGCTTCAGTACCTCTACCTCATTCTTGCCGAAATCAATGCTAAACCTGAGCATTAAGAAGTGTTGTTGGATGAGGCAAGTTAATTATTAAAAATGTTTCAGAATATCACACTATAAGGAGGAAGGTTTTGGGATTGAGAATATAAATTAGAGCCCTTGCTTAGAACAGCTTACCATTTAAGAATCTTACTAGCTGATGCAACCTTGGTATCAAAATCAATAATAAGACCTCCATTTCTAAAGAAATTACGAGCTGCTTCCATCAGTTCTTTATCAATATCCCCCGGAGAATAGCATCGAAGAGCAGGGCCAGATCGAGTACCACAGACCAGCGCAAAATGAATAAGAGGCTCTGGGTAAGGAAGAGTCACCTGGTATGGAAAGGGGCAAAAATGAGGTACAACAAAGAGGCTGAGCTCTTAGGAGATAAGAGTTGACTGGCAGATTACAATTCTGGAAAGACAAATGTGTTTAACCATGTACATGTAAATACATAACCCTGTCTGTTAACCATTAAAACACACACATGATGGATGTGCCAGGTATAAGTTTAAACCATATCAATAATGAAGAATATTAGTTCCATCTTACCATGGAACGCTTATCTTTTGCACCAAATGGCTTCATGAGATTGTATGGTGGTCGCTGGTTTCCCCGTAAAATACCATTTTGAATAGCTGAAAGTGAGTATGTGGACCCACCAACAACATACTTGAAGTCTCCAAACAACCTCTTTCGTTCAATTGCTCCAGCTGGATGACCCCATACCAATATTGCATGGATGGCCATCAGATTGTAGAGATTTATAAAGAAAGCAAGTTTCTCCTCCCTCTGCATATCCTTCACTTCCACTCTTTGAAGCTCTTCTACTATTCTCAGATACCTACAAAGATATTACCATCTACAATATCTTAGATATAAAAACAAAAATAGTTTATCAAGACACAAAACTGCATTTCCCAATAGCAGTTAAAAGAACTCATTCGAGGAAAACAAAAAAGGAAAAGAAAAGAAAAACCTTGCAAATTCCTCACTTCCATGGATACTTCTGTAATCAACATGCTTTCCGTCTTCTGACACATAGGCTTCAAGGATTGCATAAAATAAAAATCTTAACCTTGATGCAATATCTAGGATGGGCTTTGGCTTCACATCAATTATACCCCTTGGGATGTTGTGACATTGAGATACAATTGGATCATCGTCCAAGAACCGATACAGGTGGTTCCCATCCTCTAATAGATTTTCCCTAGAGAAACACAAGAGGAGAAAACGTCAACAATGGAATAATACATGTGATGCAAATTGGTTTGGCATTAAAAAAAATAATAATAAATAAGCTAAAATTCTTCGCTTAAATATCATGCATTTTATAGGAAAAAATGTGTGTTCCACCACTCACTGTCCTTTTGTACAAGACAATGAATCAGGGAGAGCTGAGACCTGATTTTTCACTTCACATTTTTTCCTCCCACATTTCTTTTGAACTACTTTCCCCTCAGACTGTTCTAGTAATGAAACAAAGCAGAAGAGAATTTAAAGACACTTCAAGGGAAACTTCAAGGGACTCACTCAAGAACATGATGAAAGAAGAGTTTGCTTGCAAGCTTTCTCCCAAATTCAATAGCCTGTCTCATAACACAAGCCAAAAGGAAAGGGGAAGAGTTAATGATAATGAGATTCAACTGGAAACTAATTTTGCATTTGTAGTAAACCCAGCACACGTAAAAATTGAAATAATTTCACGTATATAAGACAGAATCCAAAAGCATGACTTACGACCAACAAACTAAAAGAAAATGAAGCCCAGTAATTCCTTGTAAAATGCAAAATAATCTGGCCAACTGAAAGATGGAAGTCATATGACCACTGCTTTCCCAATAACTGAAAAGAAACTAATAAAACCAACTAACCTCTTCCCTTTCCAGATACTGATCCTCTGCTAGGAAATCCACCGCTTCTGAACCTGAAAAACAGTTCGTAAACCTGCGCATTTTATAAAACCGATCCTTCACAACAACAAATTCTTTCATCTTCCGGGCAATTAAAGCTAGTTCATCAATAGCTCCACTATTGGACAAATCATCTTCACCCGAAAGTGGTGGCAAAGGAGCTTCAAATGATGGTGGTTCACTGATCAGGTAATCAATCTTCTCATCAAACTTTCCAGACTCATTCAAGCCCTTTAGCTCACTCAAGCCTCCAATAAGGACTTCATTGAAAAACACTTTTGGAACAGACGAAGACCCAGCAATTTTCTCTAACTCAAGCTTTCTATTGGGGAATACATCAATATTGATCTCAACATATCTGAGCTTCTTCCTATACAAAAATAATCTAGCCTCTTTGCAGTCCTGGCATCCTAATCTTGTGTACAGTATAACTCTTCCTTTTATGGCTATAGCTTGTGCTGGTTCTTCAATGACCTCCTCTTGGGATGTCCTAATAAAGCTTAGGGGATTCCATGCAGATCTATCCACTGTTTTCTGAGAGACTTCTCCAGCTTCACTGTCTTTAGTGGAATCTGAAGCATTCTTATCTGCATTGTCAAGAACATCTCGTTCGTCTTCATCTCTTTTCCCAGAAAGGCGACGCAGAAAAGTGGAGACTACAACTACACCTTTAATCTTAACAAGGTTTGTTAGCGCCACTGCCTTTTCGACTACCCCCTGGGTCTCTGAATCAAGATCTAAAGAATGTGTGGACATACTTCTGTTAGCTTCCATCCCAGGAACCTCAGTTCCATCAAAGACCGGCTCTAGCTCCTCCTCCTCTCCAAGAATTTTATCTGTTGTTTGGTTTGTCTCCTCTTGAGCTTTGGACTCCAAATCCTTACTCTGATCTGTCTTCTTACCCAAGTTATCATGTCCATCATTGTGTAATTTTTCTTCTTGAGCTGTTGACGCCACCTTATGACCAGAATCATTTTGTTCCTTATTTGAGTCTGACTCCTTTTCTTGAGCTTTAGACTCCAAATCCATTCTCTCATCAATCTTCTCACCCACACCACTGTGACTTGGATTACTGTCTAACTTTTTACCCTGCTCTTTAGATTTCAAATCACCGCTCACATCCGTTTTTTCAACCAATCCATCTTCTCCATTATTCTCTAACTTGGGACTAACAGTGCTGATACTCAGAGATTCAATCTCCTTTGATGGTTCTCCTCCCTGAGATTTCTGAAGATCAAGTGTATCTCCATCCAACTTCTGAGCGGCCAGAGAACTTGTGACATTTTCCTTAGTTGAAGCCTCCTTCTCCATGAGGAAGGGAAGAATAAAGTTCAAGCACTAACTCATTAAAAGACAGCCCTAAAATGTTTAGATTGTGAACATTCAATGATTTTATGCAGGATCCTGCAATAGGTTAAACAAAATTTAACAATGTCATGACTTGCAAAGCTGCTGAGTGTTGATTAATTCGATAAACTAATATTGCAATAAAATTTTGGCTTGCAAAATCCTAGCTCATCAAAAAAATTATTTTCAATGAACATGTCTAGAAAGATTGTAATCGGCTAATAAAGACTGAAGATTAGACAGTACTAAAGCAATTTATTTACACTTCACCAAACAAAAAATTTGCGTGTGGTTCCTGGTTCCCACCAACCAATGGCTAAGCAATACTAACATCACTCAGAAACGCCTAAATTAAGTGATGGCTTTCATGAACAGCAACCTGGCTACCTTAGTTGCTAATCAAACAACAAAAGGAGCTATTAAACTCAATGGGTAAGAAAATATCCATAGCCAGAATAAAAAATAGTTCTTCCACTGATCATGTTGCTATATATTTTTCCATACACCAAAAGTTAATGCTTCTTTTGCTGGTAGAGTCATCCGTGAAAGTCAACCCAGATCGAACAAGACAAAAACATAGCAAACACCATGTATCCAATTTAGCACACACTGCCGCCGGCCCACTAAGCAAACATATAAAAAAAATTGAAAATTGAAAAACAAAGAGATATACATGACTTGGCATGCTCATATTCATACACTAAAATTTCAAGAAAGGGTCGTGCTTAGACCTCACCTAAAATCACAAGTGTGTAAACAAGAATCTGCAAATCAAGAAAGAAAGTGCAAAAACAAGAAACCATTTGACTGCTTACAGGTTGGGCAGCAAGTCATATTGTTCGCTTATGAGATAGATCCTTGCCCAATAAACAGGTCAAAATGATTACCTGCATGTTTAGTATATGTATGAAGACAGTACAATTTTTTGTATACCCAACAAAAAGCAACAATCTAGCCTTCACTGTTTCCTATATAATAGCATTATGCAAAGGTGAATTTTCAACTATTTTGACCAAAGAGCGGGTGCAGATAGTAAAGCGCAAATGACTTTCCATCCCAATTTCCTCAATTTCTCAGTAAACAAACAGGTAATTAAGAAAATATAGTAACCAATTGAAAATAATTAACTAATCAAGTAAACAAATTTACAAAACCGAAATAGAGAACGAGAAATAAATCTTACAGATCTGAAAAGGGCTGAGAGCGCGCGATGGGATTGGGGAGGAACAGTTCAGAGACAAAAAGGAAAAAGAAGAGCGAAACTGGAGAGAGAGATCTCTGAGCAGTTACAGAGATGACATTAAATGGTGTGAGAGAGAGAGAGAGAGAGTTACAATTGGTTTTTGGGGAGAGGGAGAGAGAGAAAGAGACTGAAATGAAACCGCGATTTTCAGAGGGAAGAGAGGAACGCAGGAAGCGGGAAGTCCGTGGGCTCAAGAAGATGAATATTTAAGAGTGGGTTTTTGGACTTTCGACCCAGTACACACTTCAGTATTATATACGCGTGGACTGATCGGGTTGAATTTTCTTACACAAAAATAAATAAATAAATAAATAGCGACTTTTTGTTTGAAATTAGTGAATCTTTGTCCAAATAACTCTTTTTTTTAAATATATTTTATACCAGATATGTAAAGTTAATTCCTTTTTTAAAATGATATGTTTAATGAGTCAATTTTTATGTGAGAAAATAATTGAAATGGTCTGTACATGAAAAAATCCATGACCAACTGTGATGTCTTATCAACATCACAGAATATGAGATATTATTGTATGATATTGAAATACTGCTACATGCTATAGTTAAGATCTCACTTTTAAAGTATAATATCAATGAATATTCAATATTAAAGAGCTACCTTATGCGGGAACCCTACTTAAGAATCCCTCTAAATACAAATAAAATATTAGAAATTTAGTTATATTCCCAATCTTAGACATAGTCTTATAAAGAAACCTATACCATTTAAAAACTATAAACACACCAAAAAAAAAAAACTCATAAATCGATAGTTGTTAATTTTTTCAATTCAACAGCTGTTTTTTAGTTTATTTGTGTGTGTGTTAAATACCTATATTGCCCTTATATTATGGATTTGGGAGAGAAAAATCATATCTGCCAAAAAATCAAATTTGCCAAAAAACCAAATCAGATTTATTTTCTCCTTTCTCGTTGGTGCTTTCTCTGGTGTTGGAGCAAGATGAGCTTCTATTGAAGCTCAGTCTCAGGTCCAACTATATTCTTCATCTTTAATCTACAATTTTCAATATTTCACCTTCGATTTCTTGTTCTAAAATCATGCTTCTATTGATTTTTTTTTTCCGGATTGTTCAAGACCTCGAACGAACCTAGATCAAATGCTCTTAGCTCTACTCCTCATCTTTGAGCACTACTCCTCTTTCGTCACGTCATCGTCGTCGTTGTCGTCATCATCGTCATCGTCGTCGTCGTTTTGTTTGGACTTGAGATTTTTGATCTTTTGCTTCAATTATGTGTTTCTCTTCGAATTTTAGTTGATTTTTGAAATGTATTTTAAGCTTTGATGATCGATTTATCTTTTATTACTATTTCAGTTATGGATCTCATTTTTGTTTAACGATGTACTTCTATAACAGAGTATTAACAATGTACTTCTATAACAGAGTATTAACAATATACTTCTATGACATAATAGTATTAACAATTTGAGCTCAGCTTGGTTTGAGTTGGTCTGGTTTGTTCTTTTTTCATCTTTTCTTTGGTGGACATATATTAGAAATAGCAACATGACAAGCATTAATCAACATGACAATAAATTAGCAGTGTTATTACCCTAGACTAGAACATTACAGGGGTATACAAGCATTAGAAAATAGGATGTCATAGGAAACTAGCAATGTTATTACCATAGACTGGAACATTACAGGGGTAGATATGCATTAGAAATAGGATGTCATAGGAAACTAGCAATGTTATTACCATAGACTGGAACATTACAGGGGCATATATGCATTAGAAATAGGATGTCATAGGAAATTAGCAGTGTTATTACCCTAGATTGGAACATTACAGGGGTAGACATGCATTAGAAATAAGATGTCATAGGAAACTAGTATTGTTATTACCATAGACTGGAACATTACAACCATTAATCAACATGACAGTAAACTAGCAATGTTATTATCCTAGACTGGAACATTACAAGGGTAGACATGCATTAGAAATAGGATGTCATAGGAAACTAACAGTGTTATTACCCTAAACTGGAACATTACAACCATTAATCAACATGACAGTAAACTAACAATGTTATTATCATAGAATGGAACATTACATCCATTAATCAACATGACAATAAAGGTGTGGAACATTATAGTCATTAATCAACATGACACGTAAATAAAGCTATGGTTTTCAAGACGTTTTGTTTGTAATGAATTGTTTGGATTTTTTTATAAAATTGGGTTGGGCTTGTTTTGGGTGTTATTTAAGTTTTTTGTGTTGGGCTTCCTTTTTAAGTTGATCAATGACAATAACGTAATTTATAGGAACTTAAACACTAATTTCTTATGTAGTAAATGAGTTTTGGGTGTGTTTCTAAAGTGCATTCCATGTGAGGTTTTTTTTTTTATAATTTCAACCCCTATTTTGGGTATATTAGTGAAGCTTCCATAAAATATAGGGCCTATCTGGAAAAAATTTGAGTAGGGTTAAAAGCACTCCAGAAAAAATATACATAAGTATTTGACTTTAAATAGACAAAAGTGCTTTTTTAGGATTAAATAAACACTTTTAAGGAGCATTTTAATTTTAGCGAAACTTTTTTTAAAGGTATCTATTTATCTATATATTAATATAAAATTAAAGAAGGCCAAAACGGTCAAAGGGCACACCAAATTCATTCTATCTAGAGGAAAGGCCCTAGTCACGGAGGAGCCAAAATGTCCAATACCATAAACTTCTACTCTATTCATTCAAGGAAAATATGAACTTGCAAAGAAAATTTTCTGAAAATGCAGACTATATTGAGATGATCTAACATCCTACATTTCACAACATACATCATACATGGCTTGTTAAACTGAATGCATATTTACATAGCTACCCTACAGCGAACACTGCTTCTGCTTACATTCTCCATGCTAATTGTTCATATTTGCAGGGTTCAGTATTTCCCAGGGCCCCTACTCGGTAACATTCATCCCAAGAAAAGGCTACGAGGGCATATCACTTGTATAAGAAGTTTTCAAACCTGAACCCTCCCTTTCTTCCTTTATATAATGAAAGAGTAGGCGTTGTCGAAGAAGAGGTTCTGGTATGTCAATCTTGACAAGGCCTTCCTCCCATCAGTTCAACTTTATCTTTCCCCTTTTCAATTGTTAGATACACTGGATATAGTGGATAGATATCTCATATGGGTAGCCATTGACATCTTCAACACAATTCCACCTTCATCTGAAGTTTTGATCAGGCAAAAGGATCAACTGGACTGCAAGCTACACTCAAATGAAGGGTCCATCTCCCATCCGAGTTCTCCACATGCAGTAAGAACAGTGGCAAGGATGTAATCATCCACCTCAAAACCCTCTGTTCGCATCCGATACATGAGCTTCATAGCCTCCTGGCAGAGACCATTCTTTGCATAACCCACTATCATAGCCTTCCAAGAAACCAAATTCCGTTCTGGCATGCTGTCAAAAACTTGAAATGCCTCCGTTACATAGCCGCATTTTGCATACATAGAAATCAAAGCGCTACCCACAAAAACATTAGACATGGCAGGACTTTTATTTGCAGAGGAGTGAATCAATTTCCCGTGCAGAACGGTTTCCAGCTGGGCGCACGCTTTCAAAGCGGATGAGTAAGTAAATGCGTTGGGCTCCACCCCATCCTCCATCATTTTATTCAAGAATTCAAGAGCTTCAGACTCAAACCCAAGATGTGCACAGCCAGAAATGATGGCAGTCCATGAGACAACATCTCTTAGAGGCATTTGTTGGAGGACCTTTGTAGCATTAGAGTACTCCCCACACCTACAGTAGAACCACACTAAAGTACTTCCTAGGTGTAAATTGGGTTCATTTGAGTTCTTTACTATCTGTGCATGAACTTCCCTCCCCATCAGTGAATCCCTCATTGAGCCACATGCTCTGAGGATGCTTACAATGGTCAAGTTGTTGACAAATATATTTCGCCTCTTCATTACTTGAAAGAGGCATATGGCCTCCTCACTGAAGCCCTTCCGAGCATACCCTGCTATAATAGATGTCCATGTAACTGTGTTTCGGTTCCTCATTCCATCAAATACTGTTCTTGAGTCTATCATCTCCCCGCATTTTGCATACATATCAACTAGAGAAGTGTCTATAAAAACATCATTCTTGTAAATCTTCTTAACTAAGGTACCATGTAACTGCCTCCCAAATCTTAACTCCTTCTCTTCCCCACAAGCCTTGAGAACACCACACACCGTAAACTCATTAGGCGAAAACCCCTCACTTAACATCTGCGAGAACAGTGAAAAAGCCTCCTGTCCATGGCCTTGTTGGGAACAAGCAGTTATCATAGTTGTCCAACAAACTACATCCCACTTTGGCATCTGATCAAATGCGCGGAAAGCACTTGACAGCTCTCCACATTGCGCATATAATTTAACAACAGCGCTGTCAACAATCAAGTTGCTCCAACCACCCTTCAAGACACCACCATGGACTTGCCTCCCAAGCTCATAATCCACCCTCTTACTACACAAATTCAAGACACACACAAACATGTTACCGTTCGGTTGAACCCCATCATTAATAGCATCACTAAACAAACCCAAAGCTTCCTCATCCAAACCGAAGTTCAAGTACCCATTAATAATGGCGGTCCAAGAAACCACATTCCTAACAGTCATTTTGTCAAACACTTTGCGGGCATCGACTAACTTCCCAAACACTAAATAAGCACAAATCAAATTATTAAAAACATACGTAACAGGATTCGCTAAACACCTCAAAACAACTGCATGTAATCTTCTCACTTCATTTAGACTACGACATGACCGGAGCCAAAGAGCAAGCAAATAGGGTCTGGAGCTTTGGCTCAGTGACTGAGTATCAGAGAATTCGGCATCTGGGTTTTCTTGGGAGCTTAAATTCTCAAAGTTGTAAGTAGAAGATGGGTTTTCGCAATAAAAACAACGAAAATTCGTGGGGGTTTTACGATTTCTGGTCTTTGACTTTGAATGCTTTCTCTGTATTGGTGGTTGAATGGAGAACATAGAAGGTGTTTGATAAAGGTTGATGCCAATACGTGGTGGCAAGAGAGTAGGCGAAAGCATTGCCTATTTTGCAGTTTGAAAATCCCCGCGAAACAAAGAAGAACTCAAACAGAATCTCAGTTCGAGAAAGCTCCCCGCTTTTAAAATATCCTCCTAATTTTTCTCAAAACTTAAATTTTCAGAATATCTATATTTATATATATCTTATATCTACATATATCTATATATATAAAGCAAAAGGCAAACAACGGTGAAACATTCAAAATAGCAGAAAATACCATTAGCTAATTCAAATATTAAAAATTGAAATTATTAATTACATGAGGATAATATGATAAATTCACTTTTTTTTCATGTTAACAAAATTAAAATTAATAACAAAATCAGATAAAAGGTCATACTTTTATGGAACATAACTACCCATGCTATCTTTTCTTAAGAGTGGTGATTTCCCCACTCCGATTTTATCCACTTACATTAAATTTTATAACTAAAAAAGGAGTGTAAGTAGATAAAATTGGAGTGAGGAAATCATTACCCTTTCTTAATTCTAAAAATAAAATAAAAAATAAAAAATAAAAAAGAAAACCAATTGGCACATGCGTGAGCGTGTGACAAGAGGCTAGTAAAACAAAAGGCAGGGAATGATAAAACATTCAAAATACCAGAAAATGCCCTTAGTTAATGCAAACATTAAGAATTGAAATTATTAATTAAATAAGGATAATATAGTAAATTCACACTTTTTCATATTAAAAAAATTAAAATTAAAAGAAAAATTAGATAATGAATCCTATTTTTATAAAACACAACTACTCATTATCTTTTTTAATTCTAAAATATATTTATTTTTTTATAAAAAAAAAGCATGAGAGGCTAGTTTTAAGAAAAATACTTTTTTCTGACAAAAAATCAAATTTTAAAAGTTGGGGTGAATTTAAGGGAAATTTGGTGAAAAATAGAATTTCCTAACATTTTAGAAGTTATTAAGAAAGTTAAAAAAAAATGACATTTCTGGAAAGAGACCTTCCTGCTCTTTTTATTTGGCTTGAAAAATCCTCCTAGTCTGTTTACAGTACGTTGCCATTTCTTTTTCCTCCATCTCTTCCGGGCACGCAAATAATTTTGGCACAAACTCTATGGAGGTTTCTACTGCCACTCTCCAACCCTCTTGTTCTTTCCCACTAAGAGCCCCTAAAACCGCTACCAGAGACCGCGCTTCTTCTCTCTCTTTCGTCAGAACCTCGTCCAGAAGTATTTCCCTATCTTCCAAAATCACCAATGGTATGTACTCTGTTGCTTATTTATTCCAAATTTATAAACTTAACTTTGCGTTTGATTTTTCCTGAAATGGGTATTGTTAATTTGCACTCGCCATACAAGTGATTGCTGTTAACTTGTGATTATGAAGTGAAAAAAAAAAGTGAACTTGTGTCCAAAAAGAATCAATGGAATTGGGAAATACGTTGTTAGTTTCTTAGAAGGAGCATTTTTTGTATCTGGGTTGAGGGTGTTTGTGTAACAGATAGCTGTTATGAACTGGCAGGTTTAGAACGTGCTTAATTTGATAATTTCCTTTGGATTTTTCATAAACTGGGTATTGTTAATTTGAACTAAGCCTACATGTAATTGTCTTTTTTGTGCTTTAGTTTATCTCCGAAGCCTCTTTCTATGACATCGAAGCCTTTGTGTATGTCATATGTCAAATTTGGAAGCTGAAAAGAAAAGAAAAAATTATGTAACTTGTGTCCAAAAAGCATCAAAGGAATTGGGAAACACCTTGCTGATTTTTTAGGAGGAATATTTGTTGTATTTAGGTTAACCGTGTTTACTGCTGTTTTGAAGTCACTGTGTAATAGATAGCTGTTATGAACTGCTAGGTTGTCTCTTACCAGTTAAACTACCAGTCAGGCCTGTTGCTGCTGCTGCCGTTGGTGATACAACTGCAGTTCCAAATGATTGTTCTAGTGCAGAAGAATTGTCCGTTTCTGATTCTTCTAACGCCACATTGATTGAAGATGAATCCAGAGGAAGTGGTGAAAAGGGGGAAGAGAAAGGTGGTGTGGGGGGGTTGGATGACCACAAAATGACCCGAGTATGTGACAAGCTTATTGAGGTTTTCTTGGTTGACAAGCCCACTCCAACTGACTGGAGAAGATTATTAGCTTTCAGTAAGGAATGGGATGATATCCGGCCTCATTTCTATAAGCGCTGTCAGGACCAGGCAGATACTGAGGATGATCCTGGAATGAAGCATAAACTACTACGGCTTGGGCGGAAATTGAAAGAGGTAGGTCTAACAAGTCAAAATATGATAAGCCCTGAAAGTGACACTACCATACTGATGACTTAAATGTCTTTTATTGAGGTGTATTATGTTTTTACTTCTGATCAGAATAATTTTTTTTCCACCCTTTGGTCTACGAGTGAGCTAACCCTGGTTATAGGCGTTTTCTCCCATGATCCTAACTACAGCTTCCTCAATCAGATGCAAATTCCCCTTCACTAAAGAAAAAGGCAGGCTTTTACTTTCTTAAGATAATACTTGTTGGGAGTGTAAGACTAAAAGGATGTTCAGAATCTCCTGGAGTGATAACTTGTGATGAGGATAATTTAAAATCAAATTTTACCTTTCCATGACTACACGAGGAAATTGGTTTTTTTTCTATTTGGTGGCTCTTTTAATCATCAAGGAATGCTTAAATTTGTTTGAGTTTGTTGCGCTGTTAACTTAACAGTATTGGGTGCTTCTTTGCAGATTGATGAAGATGTGCAAAGACACAATGAACTTCTTAAAGTCGTTAGAGGGGCTCCATCAGAAATTAGTGAAATAGTTTCCAGACGTCGCAAAGATTTTACACAAGAATTTTTTGTGCATGTTCACACTGTTGCTGAATCCTATTACGACAATCCAACAGAGCAAAATGGTGAGACTATGTAATATTTATGATATACTCATCACTTAATTATTCATTGTTTGCAAAAGATGTGCATTATATAATTAACACAGTGTTTGTCTTGTTCTTGAAGCATGATATCATTTAATCACTGTCATTCCTTCCTGCCTTTGTCCGAATCATATATTGTTAAGAGTAAAAAGATAATCCGCCTGCCTTCATTTAAAAGCATGATACACCTATGTTCTAATATCAGCTGTGGGGTAGCAAACTAGATATAGCAGTTATCTAGCTGATTTAATTAGGGGTACTTGCTTAAATACTGTGTGAAAGTGCCACTATAACCAAGACTTGTTTACATGTCATGTAATTTGTTGCGTTACTATTAATAATGTAAACCACAGGTTATGTGTAGTTTTTAATAATTTAAATTAGATGCATTCGAGGCCAAAAAGAAATTTATACATTAAATTATGCAATTGGGTCCGTGCTAGGCCTTAACAGGTCTGGATTTTAACCAAAATTAAGTCGGAAAGAAAAAGCAAGCCATTGAATTGGAAACGACCTAACCTTGTGGGGCAAGAAGTGAGCTAGTTTAAGTGACGAGGCCAGAAATCCAGCCAATCTTTATATATTTCTTACTCCATTACATTGTGGGTAAAAACTTACAATCTCTTTCTTATATGAATAGGTTTGGCAAGTATTGGAAATTCGTGCTTGGCTGCTGTACAAGCGTATGATTCTGCAACTGAAAGCATTGAAGCACTGAATGCTGCAGAGTTGAAATTTCAAGATATTATCAACTCTCCTTCTGTTGATGCTGCTTGTAGGAAGATAGATCACTTGGCTGAGAAAAGTCAACTCGACTCAACATTGGTGATGATGATTACAAAAGCTTGGTCAGCTGCCAAGGAGTCGAGCATGACAAAAGATGAGGTGAGATGATAGCTTGCCAGAGATACTGCCTTTCTCCAATTATGATTAAGCTGTCGCAGTACTATTATGTGTCTATGACAATCCAAGTTGTTCATATGCATAACATAGAGACAAGTATCATTTTGACGTACTGGTCCTAGAATTATTTTATGAACAGACACAAGGAGCTTGATTAGATTGTGATTCCCAACCTCCCAAGAAAAAAAAAAAGAAACAAAGAAGAGGAAGCCAAACTTTCATTTTTTGGGTGGTGTAATACTCGCTAATTTATGGGTTTTTTTTTTGTTTGAGTAGGTGAAAGATGTATTATATCATTTGTATGTGACTGCAAGAGGTAATCTCCAGAAGCTCATGCCAAAAGAAATTCGGATAATTAAGTATCTTCTCACAATTGAGGATCCTGAGGAGCGTCTGTCTGCATTACATGATGCATTTACCCCAGGAGAGGAACTTGAAGGGAAGGATGTAGATAACCTATTCACGTATGCATCAAAAACTTAATTACTCTTTCTAATGAGTTCGTAGAAATTTATACATTTGGTAGCTGTATGAAGTTGAACGGCTATCCTCTGTTTTTCAAAGCTCATGTGCGCTATCCTTTCCGTTTTGTTATTTAATTATATCAGGACTCCAGAGAAGCTCCACACCTGGATAAAGGCTGTTGTGGATGCTTACCATTTCAGCCAGGAAGGCACTCTAATAAGGGAAGCAAGAGACCTCATGAATCCAAAGATCATTCAAAAACTGGAGGAGCTGAAGAAGTTAGTCGAAAACAAATTCTTGTGACCAATAACGCATACATCATGAATGGTACTTGTCCGTATGTCAAACATCACTGGTATTCATCTCCAGGACCGTCTATTTATCTCAGCTAAACTTTGGAAATACAAGAGAACCCTAGCCATGACTCTCCAGATTTTCTGAAGTTCCTAGTGGCATGCACTATGAAGCTTGAAGCTTCAAACATCAAAATGACTTGTCAGCCTTATAGGTTAAAATGCTGTAGTTTGTTGGGTTTTTGTAGTCTGATGTACACCGAGCCCCTTTGTCATTATAAACTACAGCTTTGTAAAATTACTGGCCCTAAGCTTGAAAATAAAATCAATCTCATCCTCTGTACCAATTTTCAGTGAACAGTGTGTTTACAGGAGGAAGCTATATTTTCTCATAATTGAATGCGCAATCTTGCTATTAGATGAGTGTCACATACATCACAAAATACGGATTATATGCACCCGCGCAAGCATATGTCAGCGTTCTCTTGTCGTCTCATGTTGCAAGACTATGAATCTAAACAAATTCGGAAAGAATTAACTTAATCAATGGTTCATATTCACAGTCTAAACAACATACCCCGTGTTCTAGCTTTCGGTTTGACGTGTAAGAAATCAAATTTTCATCTAACCAAGCCTTGAGACGTGTTCGAGGATTGGTGGTGGCCATAGCCCTCTAGCTCTTTCAGCTCCCAACATGTTCTGTAGATCAACTGGCCAAAGGTACGTACGGATTTGAACTTAGAGCTCATTCTGATTTGGGCTCGCTTATTATGTAAAAAGACGGGGCCTTAGCATAACCGTAGAAACCCGGCCCATTACAGGCCCAATAAACCAATGAAAATATTATTATTTTCGTTTTTCTCCTTTTTCATTTGCCAAAGAGGCGTCGCCCTCGCCCTCTCCCTCTCCCTCTCCCTCTCATAACGAAATTATTACGAGAATGAAAAAAATCCCAAGAATTCCGAGTCCACTTCAAATTACAGAGTTTTGCGCGCAAATTTAAAATCCTCGTTGTGTAGATTTCACGTCGACGACTCTGCCTCAGGTAAATTATCTTCTTGTTCTCCCTCCCTCTGATTTTTCATGGATTTGTTTGTTTGTTTGCTGAGAAAAGTTGAAATTGATTATAAAAAAAATAAAGAAAAAAGTTCTACGTTGTACTGAACTAATTCGGTCCATGATGTCTACGTTGCACTGAACCAATTTTGAGTCGGAAATTTCAATTGGGTTCTGATTTATGTCTTTTTGTCTTTTGGTTCTGTTTGCATCGACTTCTACCTCAATTCTGTCCATGATGATCAGCATATGGCTGAATTAAATTGAATTGATACTGAAATAATTCGGATTGTGATATTTTCTCAGCAAAGCATTTGCTATTTCGTAGGCACTGACTTTTTAGATGTCTTTTTTGTTTTGTTTTTTTTTTTGTCTTGAGAAAAGCCAGATGATGAACAGAAAATCAAGTAATTGTGCTATTTGTGAGAGTTCAAATCTCGCTTCTGTCTGTGCTATCTGTGTCAATTACAGGTGTGACATCTGAACTTAATGGTCCTTCAAATTTATTGTTGATATTATGAACTTATTCGAATCGTTGATATTATGAGTTGTTCTAACTGTTATAGAATAATTGCATGTTTACATGTCCTTAGTCTTATATATGGGTATGCTTGTTTTCAGATTAACTGAGTACAACAGTTCTTTAAAGGCACTGAAGAGTCGTCGTGATTCCTTGTATTCGAGATTGACTGAAGCGCTTGTGGCAAAGGTTTGTTTCTGCCTTGGATTGACTTAGGTAGCCTTTTCTTTTCTATTACTTCATACTCTTGTCCTTGCATTCCAATGGCCTATTTCTGCCAAGTACAAATATAGTTTTCAGGTACAATCCTGTAAGTTAATTAGAATAAAACCATGTTTTCTTACAACATATTATCTTTTGTATTGATGATATTTTTTACTCGGTTCTCATTAAAAAATATTATTTACACTGAGGATGCAAAGATGGGTAATGGACTCTAAAGAATTCTGCTACTCTATTTATACTGATGTTTTATACATTGGTCAGGGTAAGGCCGATGATCAACTAAATTGGAGAGTGCTTCAAAATGAAAAGCTTGTGAGGTTAAGGGAAAAGCTCCGCTGTAATAAAGAACAGCTTGTGCAAGGTTGGTTTCCTATTGCCAAATAGAATTTAGGTTGAAATTCATTGATGTTGTTCCTGTAAGACTGATTGAGATGTTTACAGGCAAGGCTAAGATTGAGAAGACGTCCTATGACCTAAAAGTAAAATCTGGGGTGCTTGAATCAGCCCTTGCTGTGGTATGACAATTTTTAGAAATATCTTTGTATTTGATTCTATAGAAATCTTTAAGATATCATGGACTTCTAAATTTTCCTATTTGCAGTTGGAAAAAAATCGTGCAGAACAACTGGAGAAGTTCTATCCCAACCTTATATGCACTCAGAACTTAGGGCATGTAAGGCATATTTATACACTCCTTTAATTTAGATACTTCTTTTGTGCATTATTAATTAAAGGAAGTTAGAATAGCTTTATTGTCTCAGAAGATGTGACGATAGTTATGTTTTTACTTTGCCATGCATTCTTCTTATCCTTCTCTTCTGATTCGTTCTCTGAATTGCAGATGGCAATTACCTCTGAACGCCTTCATAAACAGTCAGTGGTTATAAAACAAATATGTAAATTGTTTCCCCAACGTCGGGTAAGCTCTTCAAAAGAAGATGTATGTTGATTTATGCGCATGAAATATGGCTTATAAGTTGAGTTGAGTATTAATAGAAACATCCTACACATGCTCTGCATGTGTGATGAGAAGTTATAGGAAGTTAAAGGGTAGGAGGGAGAAGAAGCTGGGTGGGTTAAAAGTGGGATAAATGATAGTTATGGTAACACCCTTAGCTTTAAATTTAATTATGAAAAATTGATATTTTATCCCCTTTGGTTGACAAAGAGAATTCTCTTAGATAATCGTATAGATGAACTCAATGGTTTGATTATATTTGATTGATAATCCTTGATGACTATGTTACATGAAGCTATTGACTGACTTATATAAGTAGAATGAAAGCTATACCCATTTTGTTTTCCAAAAGAAACAGCATCACTGTGGTTTTGCTCTGGGTTGTTAATAATTCGTAGCATTTGATATTCCTCTATATAATTATTGGGGTTTGAGGAGCTTAAATCCAAGCTTTTTTATGTTCATTCTTTCTTTTAGGTGACTGTTGATGCAAAGAGGAAAGATGCATCTGGTGGTCAATATGATCAAATTTGCAATGCGTGCTTACCAAGAGGGCTGGATCCACACTCAGTTCCATCAGAAGAGCTTGCTGCTTCTTTGGGGTAATCTCTCTTTGAAGTTGTAATATCCTAATATTCTTGTAAGCAGGAAGCTATTTGGTACTGGATTATGTTATCTCACTGATTCACCACGAACTTGCTGATAATTTTTGCTTTTTCCTCGTGAGATTATTTTTTTTCAGTTAAATCCTACGCAGTTGAATCTTGTTTAGCAATGGTGATTTGCACTTTCACTGATAACTGATCACTATCTTTGGAGAACAGATACATGGTTCAACTCCTGAATCTTGTCGTTCAGAACTTAGCTGCTCCAGCACTTCATAACTCAGGTTTCGCAGTAAGCACTGTTCACCCTCCATGTGATGGCTTAAAGATTCCCTTGAAAACAACGGTCTTTCCTCACCATTAAGATTTACTATTGGCAAACTCTTAGGGGTTTGAAAGTACTAATGATGATTATATGATTATAAAAATGTTCTGGAAGTATTAGTGAAAATAGATGTTTACAGTCTGAAAGTTTCCCAATGTTTTAATATATATATATATATATAGATAATGAAAATTATTCTTATTTTGATTTGTCAAATTAAATTGCTCATATTGTTAGCTTATGACTTGTGTTTTTATTTATATTTATTTGGGGAAGACATTTGGTTCGGAAGAAAAGCATACCTTCATTCGAAACCTCTTTCTGTGAAAGCATTCTATTTTTATTTCGAAGTTGCACTTTTCTTCTAGAGAGACATTTGAAGCTTCTCTAAGACATTTGAAACTTCATCTGAGGCTTTTGATGTTGTATTTTGGATTATTTTTAGCTATATTTCGTCTTAATTGGGATGCCTTACTTCAGGGTTCCTGCTCTCGGATATGGCAAAGAGATTCTTATTGGGATGCTCGCCCTTCTTCTAGGAGGTACGTTGGCTGGAGATATTTTTTGACATGGGAGAGGATTTCTCCTCCTGGTGACTGAGATAATTTATTTTATTGCAGCAATGAATATCCTCTCTTTATACCACGGCAAAATTATTGCTCCACTAGTGGCGAAAATTCGTGGTCTGATAGAAGCTCAAGTAATTTTGGTGTTGCTTCAATAGATTCCGAGAGGAAACCCCATCTGGATTCTTCTGGAAGTAGTAGCTTTAATTATTCTTCTGCTTCTCAACACTCTGTCGAAACACACCAAGATTTGCAGAGAGGGATTTCACTGCTCAAGAAAAGTGTGGCATGCATTACAGCATACTGTTATAACTCACTTTGTTTAGATGTCCCTTCTGAGACATCTACCTTTGAAGCATTTGCAAAATTGTTGGCTACATTATCTTCGTCCAAGGAAGTTCATTCTGTTTTCTCTTTGAAAATGGCTTGTTCAAGGTACATTGTCCTGCATCTCCTTTCTTTGTCAATTATGTTCTGTGTGCTTTCATTTTTGTTCTATTGTGCATAAACTGAAGTAATAAAATAATAACTGTTATCTGGTTTTAACAATGTTTGGACAAACATTAAATCCTGAACTTCTGAGAGGGTATTTTCTTGCAAAATAGATCATTGTGACTTTTGTAACATCTGAATTAGAATGTTAAGTGCTTCATGTTTGGGTTGTTGACTGAGCCAATGCTTCATCTGCTGTAACAAAGCTTGAACTACTGACAGGCTATGCATAGGTTGTATGGGACACCCTTAATTAGATAATGAAGCTGGTGCTGCGTGGGATGTTGTTACTGTCCCAAGGCGTTGGCATCGCAATTGGAAGGCGATTACAAACCTTAAAATTGAAAATGCATTATTTCATGAAATTACAACAATTATCTATGTCATTGGTTTTTAATCTCTGTCACCTTCACGCCCCCTTCTATGTTATAAAAGATGCTAACTTCTCTAATAACTTTCGTACAATTAGAGAGAGTACAAAATTAAGATATCTACTAAATTTCCAAAGCTCTCTCTTGTCAAACAGAACACACCTTTATAATTTATGGGTAATACACTTTTAAGCCTTTCATTTATTTGCCTGATCATTCTTGAGGAATTTCTTCTGT